TACATCACTCAGGTGCCATTACGTACATCAGAAAAGACATCCTGCCCAGAAAACAGTTAAGTAGAACACTGATATTCAAATGCAATACAGTAGCATCATTCAAACAGACTATCCTACCACTCAGCATTTTCTTCAGCAGAGTGAAGCATAAATGAGGGTCTGATGATGCATTGTACTATCTACACCCTGAATGAAGGATTCGAACCTACACATACCAAATGTTACTGTGATCATTCAAAGGAAGCCTTGATGATAAGGCATATTATAAATCATATCATGCAGCCTTCTTGAGGGTTTGCTTTTCTTTTAAAGATATCACAGCCTGGAGAGACCACTCTTTATATGGAATTATTGATGACAGCTAAACAACAGCAAACATTATTTGCTACCACTACCTCAATTTTTCTCCAACTATTTCTTGCAAGCTTTAAAAGGTTGTACATTTTTACCCTACTTAAACATCACCCTTTCATAGAGTTCTACAAAAAAAGTCCTTCAGAATACAAATTCCACCTGTCTCTTCGGATAATACCACAGCAAGGTCTGTAACATTTCTAATTTAATTGAAAAGGGATTTTTAACCAGACTTAACTTTCCTCTGTTACGTCAGACTGCTGATGCCTTGTGCTTCTGCTTTCCACCTGACTGGGCTTTTTCTCTCCCCTTATAGATCTGTGTGCAATTTACTGGTCTCAAAATCCTTCACCAATATATATGAGTACATGAAATCTGCAAGAGGGCTGAATACATTTCGCATTGTTAAATGTGAACTAGACAGTAACAGAACATCCCCCAAGAAGTATGTGGGGTTTGTATCATACACTGGTCTTTATTGCAAGCTGGAAATGATGACATTAAGCATGTTTTCCAGCCACAGGTCCTGGTTTCCTTGCTCCAGGACAAGTTTGGCTCTTCTCCTACCCAAGTCATAAATTCCTGACCCCACTGCATGTAAGTTTGTGCATACCTGCAAAAGGCTGTGTGATCTGGGGATCCAACCCTCTAAGCTATATATGATTCATTGGATTTGCTCCCTTTCATCTTCCCCTGCTTTCCCCATATACTCCACTCAATTTTTACGGATAAGGGGTAAAAAGGGTAAACTCAAAGTATCTTTCCTTAATAGATTCAAAAGGTTTTCCATAACAATATGTGGCAAGAAAACACTAAGGAACTAACTGACCATTATGTGTTTCCTCAAATTTGTTTGTTTTTTTTTTTTTTTTCCCAAAAGCAATCATCCTCTTTATACTTTCTGCCATGAGGGCTCACTATCTCTTTAATAATGGAGAAGGGGAAGAAGGTGAAATCTAAACTTCATTCTTTCATGACTTCTCTGCTGCCTTGAATACATTATCCCTGCTAAACCTTAGAGGTGTATCATCTCTCCTCCCCAATTTTTATTTTTTTTTTTATCATCCCATTCCCAAGACAAGAAGATCAGAGATTCCACCTACTGCTTGCCTCAGCCTCCAGCATGTCTCCTCCCTGAAACGTCTATCCCAACAAGACTCCCTAGCTTTTAGAAGTTAAATGGACACACTGGTACAGCTAATGTATTTTGTACTTGCTTGAGCTGCTTCTTTCATCTTGAGACAGATGGGAGTTTGGTGCTCAAAGGTCACAGCTAGCCTGCCTGTTCTAGCAAGGTATTAACAAATCCACTGTGCCATCAAGGCTGTGATATACCTGAAAGTTTCTAGCAGGAAGTCCTCATAAGATAACCACCAACTGTCTCATACTGCTCTGGGTTTTGTGCTCACAGATGGAAGAGCTCTTAGGAACCCCTACTTACCTTTTCCCCCAGTGTTGACGGAGAGTTCACTGGGCATTTAAACAACTCATTTGGTGGGAGAATCACTCCGCTGCAATTAATCATGTTCTATATTTCTTGCTGTGTTTCTAGCCCTCCTATCCACGAGTGTCAGGATGCCTCTTTCAAACACCTGTTTTTCTGCTGGTTCCTTTTCATGATCCTTAGGAGATTCCCCTACACCTCAGCATGATCAATTCCACCTGGTTTCCGTGACTCTTCATTTGTTTTCCCTGTTCTAGCTTCTTCCCTACCATTTTTCCTATTCTACCATTTTAGCAGTGTTCCTGATTCTCCTAGTAAGCTTTTGCTGTCTAGAGACTCTCTCATATGTTTGGGTGAGCAAAAAAAATGAAACCCTCGTCAGCCAATCCACCTCCACAGCTTGATGGAGGAGGAAAATGCTCCCAAGACTCTCAATTATCTCCTGAAGGGTCTGGTAAGTCCTCACTGTTGATTAAACTAAGACATTATTAGCTTCTTGTAGAGGATCTTAGATCACTCCCAACTGCTGCCCTGTGTCTGCTCTTTCTGTTAGACTAGCCTCTGCCATTTAGGCTAACACACGAGTACAGCAATATTCCATTGCTACAGCACGTAACAAAGTTTCGTCAGTGAAGACTATTTAAAAAAAGGCCACAATTTAAACAACTAAGCTGACAGAAACATTAACATAGACAATGTTATACCAAAAGCAAAATAATTTTACCAGCGCTGTTTATTTCTCCATGGGGAGTGTCTCAAGCTTCATCAGAAGAGAACTCTGGCCATTAAACCTTCACATCCTTTAGCAGAGTCTTATGTATTCTGAGCCTTTGCTGAGGATGAACTTTCTAAGTTCACACATGCACAATTCTACAATTAATTTTGTTTTTTCTGGAAGGTTGTTTTAGTTGTTAGTAATTTCCTTGCCAGTTGTGAAAAGGAAACTTCCCTTTTCACCAACTACATCTAAGCTTTAAAATAACAAATTTAGACAAGTTTGCTTACACATTTTAAAATTCTAGTGTAGAGTGAGAGCTATACTTTCATATATCAGCAAGGCAAGTTGAACCCCATGGCAGGTGTGTAAGCAAAAAAAGTATTAGCTAACATATTTTAGAAACACCATTTATTCTAGTCTTGACAGAGCTTAGAAGGTGTGACAGCTTGCTGGGTTTCTGAGAAGTCAATCACCATCCTTATTCCCCACTGTTTGAACATGCTAGCTATTATTTCAGTTCCATGATTCTGTATTTGATTTGTAAGTGTGTTCTAACAAAAACAGCACAGATTTTTGCATTTAAAAACCCCTGTAAATTTAAGGGACAAGAGCAGAGATAATTTCAGCAGCTCTGGGCACATTGTTATCTATCTGAAAAATTGCGATTGTTCATGCATGAATAGCCACAATTTTAGTTTATTTGAGAAACATGGCAATGGGTGTCATGTATTAAAGATTAGAATCGGACCTTATATGACCTCTCCCCCCTTCAGTTATGTGCTAAGAATTTAATTTTTCTTTTAAAATATAAGAGAACAACAATAATTTTCTCTGTCTTTAAAATGAGAAGCAAACCACAGATAAAGGGAAATTCTTTTTCATTCTGTAGAGATTAGTGACATCTAAAAAAACCTCATTCTTTGAGGAGAATGATTATCTCACAGACACAATGGCAGAGAAGAATATTAAAAGTTTTCCCCAGAGTCACACATATTTGTCAATCTTTATTCCTCTTCATATTTAACTTAATTGCCACAAATGGTGCTCATAACCCCTCCTTTCGTTACCAGGAACATAGTCCAACGAGGAACAGATGGCAACACAACAGACTTCCTTGTCTTTTTTAATTTTCAGAATGCTATCCTACATGTCTGAATTTTTAGATTGATAGTCCTGCAGGCTACAGACTCTTGGTTATTATAGATTTCAGATACAGTGAGCTGTGAGCCTTCCATCTTAGTTTGCTCAGCTGTTTTGTGTCAACTTTGACCTAAGCCATGCATCTATTCAAACCTTCGCACTGCTGATCAAACTTCCCAGATAGAAACTACCATATTGATTAGAATGATTCCTTTTCGCAAGGATCTAGACTCAAGATCACGACATTATTCCACAGAGGATCAGCATGGGCTTTGCGCAAGCCTAGCAAAAATATTGCATTAAATTAGAAATCAACATGCCATAGTGCTGCTGCTTCTCTTTCAAAACAAAATGGTGTATTACAATTTTAAGACTGTCAGTGTTCCTCCGGAATCCCAATCAGTATGTTAATAACACTGGATTAACAGTGTTAATCACCCCCCCCCTTTTTTTTTTCTCTTTTAAAAGAGTGGGAAGGAAAAAAATATTTCAGCATGTGCCTAGCAATCATGGTATTAGAAAGGTTACTGATGTGCTGTAGGTACATTCTACCTTACCTCTAATTGATTCTACCATCTATTATCAGCATTAATCACTTTTTTTTTTTTTTACAGTAACATCTAAGCAGCAGTCAAGAGTGAGGCTGCATCATGCCATATACTGTGCAAATACAATGTGGCAGACAACACCCTGCCCTACAGAACCCAGCAGACACTCCAGCGAGGAGAAAGAAAATACTAGACAGGAAAATCTTACTCTATCATTGTTAATATGTGCAACTGCTTTTCTTTACAGACTTGCATTTTTGACTCCCACCACCTCAACAACTCATATTTTCCTTTGGCAATAAAATGTTCTGATAAATGCACTGAAAAATCCATTTCCTGTTGTGTGTAAATTGCTCCACTTCCTGCTGAAAACAACCCAGGTACTGACAATACACAGGTTTTGTTCCAAACATCTTTGGATAGGACCCTTTGACAGTTTCCAGGCTCAACTACCAAAGGCTCAGCTGACAGTTTTAGAGGACCTACATTAGCTGCAAGGTCTCATGAGGCTTGACACTGACCTTCCTCTTCTTGGCATGCCAGAACCTGGATCAAATCTTTGCTATTCTGAATGATTCAGACTAATTAAAAAAAACAAACCCACAGAAGCAGAACGGATGACCAGCATTGCAAAATAAAGGGCCTGAGTACTTGATGATACTACCCTCTTTTACTTTATTTCCCTAAATCACATTCAGATACACATTTCTTTCCAAACAGCAATAACGAGAAGCACTCTCCATTCGCTTTTGGAGGAGGGCTTTTTGTTGTTTTAAGTGCAGTGCACCAAACTTACTGCATCACTCTGAGGCTGCGAGATCACAACAGGCTGTCCTGAATCACATGTCTCTCGTATATTAACGTGCAGTGGAATGTCTCCTGTATCAAAAATACCAAGACACACATATGTGAAGACCTAATATGTCTTAAATGTTTTGTTAAAATAGCCCTAAAGCAGCTTGAAATCAAATTCCAGTTTGGTATATTCTTTGAATTACTTAATCTCAAAAAATTAGCACTTAAAATGAAAATTGGCTGCAGTACAGTTTCTGTACATCCATAATGATTAATGCCAAACATATTTTAGATTTTTCATTCTCTGAAGAGGAAGGACTATGCTTTGCAGTCATTTATTAGAGTCGGCAGTTTGCTTTTTTTGCCTCAAATACACAGAAAAACACAGGCTGAGATACAAATTATTTTGTGTACATAAAAAATTGCTTGAGTGTTAGGCAAATGCTCATCATGCAACTTACTATTCAGCCTATCTCCTCATTGTATATTCTTTTCAGTGCTGTTTTAAGATTTTAATCACTGTTCAAAGACTTCTTTGAATACTTAATTTCCAAATAATAGCATTTGTTATTGTCCTTATTAGGCCTTGGATCCAATTAAAAGGTAGACAACTATTCTGTTCATTCTTCTTTCCAATAGAAATCTTCTTTATATTCTGCTTTTATAATGAGCAGGGAACAGTCAGAGAGGAAAGGAACGCTCTAAAGGAGCATTAGCTGCCCTATCAATTAGCAGCCCTATTCTGAAACACATTTTCTGAAATAGTTTTTCAGCACTAAAGAACACTAGAAGTTCCCATGTTTAGTTCATTGCTACATAGATAATTATGAAGTGAATTGAAGACCAACTTTCTTTTAATGGAAGATAGAGCTACATTTTACATCATGGATGGACATAGATAGAACAGCCTACCTTAGTTCAATCTTGACTGGTCTTAGAAACTATATCAGTTTAATTCATACACTTTAGCAACATTTATTTAACCCAAACCAAGGCCAGTGTAAATTACTAAAGTTCAATGTAACCAGGAAAAGATATGTTAAAAAAAACTGTACGAAATTTGACACAGCTTAAGAGATAAAAAAGCAGAATGGAAAGCAAGCAGGAATACAAAGAAAAACCCAAACAAATAGCAAACAAAAGCTGTGGCTCCATGATTAGTGAGCTGAATCTTTGAAGAACTTCAACTTGTTATTTATGATGATTACAGTCCACTTCCTTCAAATTTAATTATTTCTCGTTTCAGTCATGAATAAATTTATTTAGGCATAAAAGTCTGTTCATTTATTCATTTAAAAAAATATTTAGGGGGTCCTTTGAAAGGCTTTTCTTAACCTTAAATATTCTTAATAAAATAACAATAACTTCATAAATCTCCCAGAATTTAGTTCCCACCATTATTTTATGCAGAGACTAATCTTCACTTTTCTCCCCAAAGATGTTTTGTTAATGAAAAAATACTTCTTCACTACCAGCTTAGTAACAATCTCAGAGAACTACAAAAAGAACTGCCCTACTACAAAGTGGTAGACTCTCTCTTTTCTTCCTCATACTTACAAAGATGTGCTGGTACTACAGGAGCACAACAGGACTTGTATGAGCAGAAGTGCAAGTCAGAAGACAAAGCAAAATGCAATCTTAATTTAAAAAAAAAAAATCAAAACCTTATAAATTAAGCAGAAGCATAAAGACATCAAAAGCATCTGCACAGCTGTTTGGGTGATAAGGGTTTGAGAAAGATGAAGTTTTTGCACTATTCTTCACTACAGAATGTGATGGGAACTTACTATCGTATACTTTTCTGATACTAACAATTATTGCTGACTGCAAAGAAAGGGTAAGTGCTGAGAATAATCTGAATTTATTGTAGGATTGTAGGAAAAAACAAAAAGAATTTTAAAAATCTGAGAGTCGTTGTTGCTAGTTCTATTAGCAGATACAGTTTAAAAAGTTAGGAAGTGCAAAGGTCAGGATGGAGTGTACAGAAAATATCTTAGTATTACGTATATCGTAATACTGGTCACAGTTACAGTCATCAAACTTCAGAAAAAAGAAAGCAAAATAGGGGTATTTCAGAGACAGAGAGAGAAACAGTCATCAGTACAAAGTCTCTCTCACAAGCTTTGGCACACTTTCCTTTAGGGAACAATAAAAAGACGAGACAATCAAAAGTATATGAAATAATGAACTACACTCCAAGGTATACCGGTGACTACCAATTGTCTTCTGTCATAAACAAAAATAAAGGAGGTATTCAGTAATATTAAAGGCAGCCAATTCTGAGCAAATAAAAGGAAGATACTTTCCTATCCTGCACATTGTTAGCATGCAGAATTTGTCAGATGTTATCATGGCAACTAAAACCTAGTCAGGTTTCACAAGAGGCCTAAGTGCTTAGTTGAACAAACAGAAAAGCCACAGATGTTGCAAAATGTAAGGAAAATAAATTTAGAAACACTAATTTCAAGTATATACATTTTTTACATATATATATATATATATATAAAAAACTTCTCAAGGCTTTGGGGCAGAATTCATATAACATTGGGATAAAACTTCCATTTGGGATAGATTAATGTGAAATCTGTAAGCAGTAATTCTTATAATACCATATGGTATTATTATATAATGGTCATCCCTGGAAGGAGGAGCATACTAATCAGATCAAGTGCTGTGATTCTAAATTTAACCCTTGGGCACTGTTCTTAATCTTAGCCTGGTCTTTCACTGACAGTTTGAAGGTAAACTTCACTCTGTTTTTCTTCACACATCTCATCCATACTCTGCTAAACCTGTAGATCTCTCACATTACTCCTAATTAAGTACAATCACAATCAGTTCTGCCCTCTTAGGGAATAACAAAAACCATCTATGGGACCAATAGCATGGCACATCATTTGTGCCTGTGTATCTAAATGCATGTTTGATTCAACTGCTTGCAGAAGATTTGCATCCATCCACATAACCCAAGGCTGTAGAAGTCCCCTTGAGCTCTGATCACAACTCATTATATATTCAGAAAACTAAAAGATAGCCCAAAAGCATGCCTTTAATTATGTGTTGCCTTCCTATCTTAAGTTTATGTCAGACCTTGATGTTTCTGTGTTGATCTTTCTAAGTGAGCTTCCTGGTTCTTTTTAATGAATTAGCTATGGAAAATCATTGAGATAATTATAGTAATACATGGAAACACATCATTAGCACATGCAATTATCCCATTTACCGACTTAATTACGCTGTGTTATATTCTGTAATTTTTTTTTACTGACAGCACAGGTTGAAGTATGCCTTTTTAAAATAGCAATGTATATTTTAAAGATCAATGTATATTTTAGCTTATAGGCATGCCAAATCGTTTAATCATGGCTAATTTTTGTTTTCAATAAAGATAAATTTTCTTTTGAAACAACATTTTGCAATTCAGCCTATTCTTTTAATCTCAACACTTACATACAATTATTACAGTCTGCTTGCTTCCATACAAGAATTGACGAATCTTCATATGGGCATAAAAACAACTGCTTTAAGGGACTGCATTTGAAATTACTGTCTTTATTTTAGTATGTAACAACTCATTTCATTTAAATGAAATAAATGAGAAAACTTCTATTGACATTAATGGACAGAGTTCAGGTTTGCTTTATAAGACCAAATAGAATTCTTGGTTATTTGTAAAAATTGTTGTATGATCAATAAGATAATGAATTTCAGGTAATATTAGCACATCAATATCAAAACAATTTATGTTCTGGATTGTTTATAAATTCAAAGACATTTAAGATGCAGTTCAAGAATTTTCATATCCAGTCCACATCCCGTTTACAAGAATGATCCTGAAAAGGAACAGAGTATAAAAAAATTGTGACATTCAACTGCTTAAGTTATTATTTCTATTATACACAAACACTGTCTGAATATAGAGTAATCAAGGATTATGCAGTTTCATACTTCAGTCAATGCTTCCTTCATGCACGCCATTAAATTTTTCTTCAAAAATAAAACTATTTCTACATTCTTACCTAAAATATCCAATCCAAGGGTTTTTGCTAGATCTCTTACACCATCAGCTCCGAAAATGTGTGTCTCATGCTTACATTTGGGACACTGGAAAACACTCATATTTTGAACCAGTCCTAAAACCTGTTAAAGTAAAAGAAAGGAATGTTCAAACCTGGGATTCAAGTGTCGGTATTTCTGTTATTCATCTCTGACAATAAAGAAGAGATTATCAGCAAAGAATTGACAAAGAGTACTCATTTATAATGGGAAGTAGCAGTAATATCAGACTCATTAACATCATTATCAACTCTTATTTGTCCTCTCAGTTGCACTATCATTTGTGCATTATTTCAAGTTTTTCACATTTATAGCTCTCAAAGATTAAAAAACTTATTTGTTACAAAAAGCATCTCTTGTACAGGCCTACCTTTCCAAGAACTCTCCGTGCCAGTAGTTCATTTTCAAACTATGAATACTGGAAGAATTTTCATGTTGTGTTTTATAGCTTTGTAATTTGCATTTCAGGAAACACAAAATAAAAACATACCATTACAAGAAATGACATAATCAGACATGCTTTTAAGATATTTTTTTGTAAGTTATCCTGTAGGGAAATGTTTTCAAAAAGAACCAGATTTGCTATTCTTCTGAAGAGCAGAAGCACATTTTAAAGATCAAACAAAGGAAATAATTATGTGAAACTAAGTGGCAAAAACCACAGCATAAAAATCTAATACACACATATCAGGTACCTTTCCGTTGATGCCAGGTGTTCAACATCATCCTTTCAAAATAAGTCAAATGAAAATTTGCCAAATCATGCACACAAAAATCTTCTTTCACAATGTATAATAATGCTAATGATAGCATTGATCTCATTTTATCCACTTAGTAAACAAAACTATTCACTGAGGCAGAGCAGAATTTCTCAAAACTGATGAAAACAGCATTCAAACACTACAGGGTGAAAGCTTCTATCCCATCTGCTAATCAACAGAAGACCTGCTTTAAGAGGTTCCATGTTACAATATTTCACTTTAAGATTTACATGTTATCTAGATATGTCACATGCACCAGAGCTAAGTTTTAAAAATATGAATATATATTTTCAAGTACAAAAAGCTGTTATTTACTTTGTAGCATTTTGTACTTTTAAATTTCCCCAGGCATTCTAGTTTTGTGCTTGAACAAGCTGGCCTAGTTATTAGAGGAGCAACATATCCACTATGCTAACAAAGTATATCTGAAAGGATATACCAGTGTTCAATGCAAACAAGAAATATTAAGTTTTTTAATTAAAAATCAATGTACAACTTTTGCACCAAAATTGAAAATAAAAAAGCATGTTATTTACAATATCTTAATAAAAATTTCCTTAGATATAAGCTAAAAAAGATCAAAAGACGATCACCTGCTTTTTCTATACCACCGTAATATGTTTCATGCTATTTTCTAAGTAGTCTTCCTTTACTTATGTAAAACTTTCAGAGGGTTTAAAGCAAGGAACATTTTAAGAAACGGTAATAACAACAACAAAAACCAAAACCAAAACCAACCAAACAAAAAAGATCACCTACTTTCAATTTAGCACCACAAATTTTTCCCATTTTCTACTCTGTCCCGGGGACTGCCAGAGGAGCAAGAGGAACAAGTTTCTGTTTACTGGCACATTACTACAGGTAATTTTCTCATCCAGTTCTTAAACTGAGACAGACATGAAATACTATGTGTCAAAGGGTACAAGGTGCAGGGATGGTAAAAAGGGCTCTCTACAGCCAGTCTTCTACTGATGACCTCTGAGCAGGCATTCATCCTGCTCTTCTCTAAATTAAAGTCATGGAATTTTCACTGTGTTGGTAAACTGGAGAACACTGGAAGGAGTATTATTTGACAAAAGAAAAACAGTATTTTAACTAGGATACAGGGAAGCCATTTTCTGCAGCACAGGGACAAAAAAGAGAACTTGACATTTATACTTTAAATGAATTAATTCACCTTCAGGTATCTTGTGGTTTGAACTTTCTGTTCTCCTCAAAGTAGTCATACAACATTTATGATTCAGCAAATTCATAATCAAAGAAAAAGTAGTCTACTATTGTTTTGTGAATAGTTAAGGACTATTACAGCAGTTTTCTTAATTCTTTGATAACCTAATAACTAAGAAGTCTTTCTGCCACAGTTAATGCAAATGCTGAGATACAGCTGTATCCTCAATGCTACAGCAGTTTTACAGGACTTATTCACTGTCCTTTTTTGTTTTCATTTCAGCAAATCTTAGTAAAAGCAGATGACATTTCAGCATTACACAATCATTTTTATTTTTTCAGTGTTGTTCCTATCTGTCAGCCAATGAGTACTGCATATTTATTAATATATAAATTATTATTTGGGAATATGAAGAGATTTTTTGGAATATTAAGTTGCCGATTATAAACACCCAGTTTAATATAGAATCTGTGCAAACATACACAACTTTAGTGCTGAAGTGTATTTTTAACATGCATACTTCAGCAGATAGAATTACAGAAGGAAGAGAGTTCACTAGGATCCTCAGAGCTTTTAAATCTACAGACAAAGTAATAGGTCTTCCTAATGAAGTCAGTAATAACTCTCATTTCCCTGCTCAAATAATAGATCTGGAATAGCTTCAAAGCAGCTGTTACTGTCTACACAAACTATCCCGTAAGTATGCATGAATCCTATTCTAGTCCTTAGTGAGCTCCTTTCCCTGTACATTTCTCGGCAAGCTTGGCTCAGTAATGACATGAAAATGAGCATGATGAGATGCACCACAATACAGGAGCTAACCTATGGTAGTGGAGGAGAGGATAGTTATAATGCATGGAACTGAATTCCATTTAGTCAAATCATTATTTTAAACGGTGAACAGACATCTATCAAGAAATAACAGGAAATGAAGAAACTGTTCATTATGAATTATCTCCATACAGACTGTTTCTGAATGCATACATATTTCTTATGCTCAATTAACCTTTTGGTTCCATAACAAATCATGCCAAAATCCAAATATACTACCTTCTAAGTTAAATAAAATACAGTGAGAAAATTAAAACCCTCTGTCTTTACACAAGGAGACAATTCCTGAGAAACCCACTGAAGTTGTTCACTGTACTACAGGATGGATGGTGCTGAGGTCCAACTCCAGTCTGATGGGGACTGAAGTGATCAGGGTTACAGCTCTGCAGTCTGCCATCAACCTCCTGTGTAACCATCAAGTCACTTGACATTTTAGTGCTTCAAGAAAACATGCACACTAGTATTTCTGTCTTCCTACCTTTCATCTTATAACGAGCAATTTTTGGCTCTAACATCCACTCCCAATATGAAGCCATAATCTTGGCTGGGTACTCTGGACGCTACAGAAATACCAGTAAGTACATAGCCAAATAAACAATTTAGACAATAAAAATCTTAGAAGGAAATACACAGCTGAGTTTACATAAGCAGTTTTTTTGAAAACTGTGAAATCCACAACATAACCTTCCAATTTAATGAAACTATCAGGAAAGTTACAGATTTAACTTAAACCCTCTCCTTTTCTTTCAAGGATGTGATTGCAAATATAAACCATACTGAACTGAACTCAATTTCAGCAGTTGAAAATAGGCAATTTTTTCCTAAACACTAAAAGTTATTCACCTTTTTTTTGTCACCTGCCCAGAGCAAGCCTCTGGGATGCATGAAAACGATGGCCAAACTCACATAATGGGCAAGAATCTTGAAACTTGTGACAGGACTCAGCATCACTTTGCAAACTCCTTCCTTACCAGGTGTGCTCCACTGCACAAGAGATGGCACTCCTCTTCTAAAGACTGTGTCCTAAGACTGGAAATAAGACTTTTGCATTGTAATCCCGGTTCTAACGCTGACTCTTATTGCCAGCTTTTCATCAGTTCTTTCAGCCATTCCACTCTAATTTCAATGCAGTAAAGGACAAACAATGTTAACGACATTGCGACTTTGCTGTGGTAATACTACATGTGTCAGTTGAGTCTTTGGTAACTAATGACTGTGGGGGTAAGGGGAAGGTGGTGTATCTATGCCTGTATGTACAAGGGAGAGACTCCAGTTCATTAAATATAAGCAAGCATACTCAAAGACTTAAGGCTGAGCAAACTACAGACTCTCTGCTTCTTTGAAAAGTAGACTCTTTGCAAGCGCTTTTTTAAAGATTAGATTAAAGATTTTAAACATTAGATTTTTAAAGACCAGTCAATTATATAATCAGGATATGCAATTTTAGCACAGTCCCACAGATTCCACCTCTTTGATGTAAACCTCAGGTTTGAAGTTGTCCATCAAAAATTACGTAACTAAACTTTCTTTAGATCCTCAGATTTAGTTCACACTTAGAAATGTAATACATAGGCAGGAGGAGCTGCTTTAATGCTGAAGTAAATGACACGTCTGTACTGATGTATATACAAGGTTAGAATAAAATGAAGCAGCGCCATGAAAAAGGTAAGACCTGATGACTGGTGCAAGCACATTCAAACTCAGCATCTGGTGCAACAGCTTCACTGTGACTTTTCATTTGATTTAGAAAGATCTGAAAATTCCAACAAATCAAAATAGATCGTATTTAATATCTTATCTACCACTAGTCAAATTAATAGCAGTCAAGCCTATCCTAGAATGCATGATTTTCTTAGAGGCCATTCTCTTCAGAGAACATTGAACAAAACAGACTTAGAAAGAAATCTTGGTAATTTCTCATTAAATCAAAAGGAAAATTCAGCAAAGTACTAACTTGAACACAATTTCATTTGAAGAAAATAATTTTGCATAATTTTAGCAAACCCATACATAAAATCAAAACATAACATTCCGTGTGTTATTCTTCTGTTACATATATTTGTTTTTCTTCTAGTAGCAAATGATAAATGCTACTATACTTTCATTTTAGTGCAAATATGCTTAAGGAATAGTTAACAATAAGGAATTTATCAATGTATTTCTTTTGTTAAGCTATTCTGTAAATTAAAACAAAAGGGGAAAGCAGTCACTTCAAGGTTTCTGTTGCATTTTTTGAATAAACAAAGCACTAGCTATGAAAGAAATTTCCTTTCTTAATTAAGAGTTGAAGTAACCTTCACACAGGTAAGCAAGAAAACATCGTTTTTAAAGTATACTAAATGGCTTTTTTCCTTTACTGATTAAGATAAGGAAGCATTTCAGTTTATATTTTCTCATCAACTGCACATTTCAAATGAAAAATGAATCTCTTCATGAACACTCTGGAGTATAACATTCAGTTACTTAGCAACTTGTAGCACACAGAAAATATCGAGTCAAAGATGTCACCCTGTTTAATATTTTCTCCCAATCCATACGAATATTGTTGGTATTTTTAAATTTTGCATTTCCCAAACAAGCGAGCTACCATATAAGCTACAAACCTCATGAAAAACAAAGTGATATAGACAGCCTTCTACTTGTCGTGACAGTCACAGAGCCCTTCAAATGGCAAAGTGACAATTAGGTATGCACTTATCTCCCCAAAAACTTACATTTCCTTCTTAAAATGGACCAATATATGATTTTTCCACATTTCAAGAAATTTTAGATTTTAAGCTCCAGCACAGATAGTGCTGAAGAGGACACATAATGAGTATTTAATAAGACAGTATAATTGGAAAGCACACATTACTTCATAAGATACTCGGTTTAGCAGTCTGATCCATTCCAGGTGATTAAGCCAACTGATTTAAAAGAAATTAAGTACCATTTTGACCTCGGCCTGAGAAAATTCTTTCCTTTCTGCTAAAGCAAGCTCCTGATACAGATATAAGACGGATTATAATCCTTTTTTTTGAACAAGAATTTATGAAATTGAAATGATTCCTGAATGCTTTGTTCACCTATTGTTGCAGTATATGGAATTTTTTTTGCATTTTGGAAGAACAATCTACTGGTATTATTGATGTAGAGGCTTACAGGTACATGAACTTTTCTAAACATTTCAGCTCCTTTGCGTGCATCCAGTAACGCCACATCTTGCGGAGTGGAGATGATCACAGCTCCTGGGAAAAGAAAACATGAAATACCATTAAAATCTGTATTATTGATTCTACTGTTAAATATTTTGACTATTTAATACATGCTACTAAATTCAAAGTAGTTACACATTTATATGCCTTTTTTTTTTTTTTTTTTTTTTTTGGATTTAAGGAGGAAAATGATGCTAGTTTTTTTATTGTCGCATGACCAAAATCACTGAGATATGACATGGAGTGACAGAAATAATTTAGGTATTTTCATCATGTTTTTCCACGTAGAAACAATTTATATTTTCTAAATGAGAAAATTGATCTAGCTGTCATATGACCATGGCTAGAAGACAACATGGTCCACATGCTGACAGGTTGCAGAGGTGGTACTCTGGGAATATCTACACAGTAACTGTCCCATGCCATAATTACATTTGAAAGCTTTTGATTTAACAATAAGCCTTGTTCTAAAATCAAGAGGCAGCTGCCTGTAATCAGACTGTTGCTTTCTGAACCTGCTACACTTGCTGATAAAAGCGTTGACAGGCACAGTCTTGAAACATGTTACACTAGACGCAACACCAGCGCAATTGTATGAACGATACCACAAAATAAGAGGCCAACTCATGCACACTTGCACTAGGTTTGAAAAATACTATTGCTTACTGTTCAGACACGGCTCCAGGCTACCTGATAATTAGTACTCCCAGGAGTTATTAAGCATATAAAACAGGTAGAGCTCTTTGTCAAAGGTTAGATTCTAAAGTAAGCCTACAGCTTACTATCCCACACTATCCTATATTACTTCTTGATTAATATAGCCTGCAAAAAATAGACATTATAATATTCCCCATTGCTTCACAAAGAGCATCTTTTTGCATATGCTCAGGGGTTTCAAATATTATTTCTTCAAAATTTGCATCAAGAATCTGCTCATGCTTGGCCCTCTTTTAGAAAAATGCAATGTAAAAGAGGACATTATCGGTCAATTGATTAGCTCTGGTTTCACCGTGACCATTCAGTCTCCAAAGCATCTGTTATAAAACGTCTCTGCAGAGCCAAGTCAAGCCAACCTCGCACAAGAAAGTTATGCCAAACTTCACACTAATAGCAACTACAGCAGACAATTTTAGACAGACGGGACAGAGTTTCCTACCGGGCCTGCAGCTCCCAACCCTTGATGTACACGGCAAAGGAGGAGGCAGGTAGATTTCCAGAGGCACACAACACTGGCATCGCTGGCACTGGCCGGAGCACCGGCCATCCCGAGAGCGCTCCCGGCTCCGGCAGCACTGGGACAGGCAGCCCTGCCCCTCACACCAGCCCCACGCCGTCCACTGGCTGCCGGGTGGCATCGTGCCTGCCTGACAGCCAGACGTTTCCAAACACCGCCTGACAGCACGTTTGAATGTTTTCAACCAGCGTTCTTAACCTCTAATTTGTGAAAGAAAAATACAATCTGGCACCTCGCTCCTGAAAAGCTTCCAATCTCTGCCTTACATAATATTAGACACAAGTCCAAAAAACTGAACGGCATATGTAACTTACTAAGCAAACGCAATTTCCCTATTGTTTGCTAAAACTCTGGCATCCAAGTGATTTGCTGTTTTACCCAATCCAACTTGTTTCCAATGGCATCAAAAAGAATAAAGTGGAAGCCTTTCAGTTTCATCCAAGTCACCTTAGCTCCTCGTTTCACTAAGTGTAGGGTTATGCTCTACATCTGACATTGAAATGCAGGGCTAATTCCACAAAATGAATGCACCCTTCCCTAAAAGCACAGTCCAGAAGTAAGTAATTTAGACTCAATGTCCTCGAGTTTTCTGCATTTTTGTAAAACAAAGATCTTTCAATACTTGGACAAAATGCTTATTACTGCTTTCTTTTCAGACAAAAATGGACATTTGTGTCTTACGTGTATACACTCATGTTAGTTGTTTCACACTTTTGTTCACACTCTTCTATGAAGCTGCTGGGTCAGCATTCCCTGGAACTTCAGGTAGAAGCTAATATGCAGTCAACAAAACTGAAGTTTACATTTGCTGGTCCATTATTAATTTTTTTTAAGAATCCAATAATTGGCATGGTGCGAAGGACAGAGACCATGCACAATGAAAACAGCCACTAGAACCACAAGCAACTTATCCAAGAGATATTTTTTACTAACAAATTCTCATCCAAAGGGAAAAAGACCCAATGGCACATTGCAGAGTTTAGGCTGCCAAACACCAACTCCCTGTACAAAAAACCCCGTCTTCTGAAATACATGAGTTAAAATTAGGCTCGTTGGACAACTTGCATGGCTTCTTCCACAGAATAAAAGCCAACATGCTCAGAAAGCTGCTGCTGAGGGTGTAACAGATGTGTGTCTCCTACTTTCCTTTTCACTCTGAGCTGGGTTACAGACAAAATTTATTCACAGCAGCTTGTACTGACTTGCACCAACGCCCTTTAAAATAAGTATCTTTTCTCTTTCTTTGGTACAACTGCTAGTCCAGCAAAGCCAACCTGAAGTTCAAGAATTCAAATTATTAGCAGCATTATTTCCTTCACTAGCAACTGAACATGGCAAATGAGACTTTTCACGGTGCTCCCCTCCCCAAATAAGTTTGCATATGTTTATTTCAGAAAGTGATTCATATGACGAGCAAGAAAGAACACATCCCACACTTTCTTTGCTATCTTGGCTTTACATGGTTAACAGGAATATCAAACAGTAAAGAGTTATTTTGATCAAGAAAGTAATGAAATATGACTGAATTCATGCACACAGCACGTCTCTTGAAGTGCAATACGTGCAATGTTTACACAAGCCTCTGTCTGAATGAGGCAAACTAAGGCTGACAAATTGAACAGAGAAGTTGCAGAAACTGTAATGCTATCACATAGCACATTAAAACATACTACAAACTCTATGTTTGCAGTTGTGTGCAGAAGAATAATTTCTGTGCCTTGAGCATACTAAGGATATCTAAGTTGAGCACATTTAGGTTTAACTGACATATCTACTTATTCATGCATTCCATTTATTTTTGTAACTTCACCGTATTTCAGTTGACAAAAAGACGATGCACATTGCAGTAGTAAAAACTATGCTAACTGTATTTTTAATCCTTAGCATACATAATATAGAGAGACAAAACTGATGTTTGGCTTAAGCCCAGGTCCTTAACCCTCAGTAAAAGAAAGGTGTGCCTACACAGCACTTTGGTACTCACCCTTCTGGTGGACTGCTGTTCAGGAAATTTTAAGAGCTGAAACAGCCTATAATTTCTGCGTATAGAAAATATCACCTACATTCACTGCATCATTAAGGTTTGCATCAGATACTCTGGATTACAAGGCATAAGGTGGAATCTCTCCAAGCCTTAGCTATAGTCAATTTGTACCCAAGCAAAAAACAGGTGGGTCTAAAAAGAAGCTGATAAGCAGCAGTTTAGAAGGATGGAAAGGTTCCCTCTAACATATTCTTTTCTTCCCTCTAGTGTCTTCAAAGACAGACTTCAGAACCAGGCTACGTGCATCTCATCCAAACAGATGATTAAGGACCCCTCCACACGCAAGTATTAGACTGTGTCTTACATCACCCTGATTCTTATTAACTTAGCAAATAATGCCACCCCAAAACCAGTGAAGTGTAACTGACCAGAAAGACTGATAAATAAGAGTTCTGGAGGATAAAGACACAGAAAGATACACTGCATTTTTCTAATAATTGCATCTGCTGACTGACAGGCACTGAACGCTCTTGCAAGGAACCACATTCAGACTTCAGTGCAGCTGTGGATGGCCTGATCCAACCACACCACCGATGCACCTTTTGTAACTTTTGCTACTTTTTCCACTGCATCAATTTCAAACTTCTAGGCGAGACTTTCAAGTTATAAATAGCCTGGTGAATCTGAATCTTCTCTACTGTGGATGTCTTCAGAGTTCCTCTCACCTTCTGTTAAATTTCCTGTTACTTCACAGGTAAAATGTGCCTGCAATTACAGATAGAGTTTGCACTTGAAGATGCAGAACAAGATCTTGCAAGAACAAAGACTTCTATCTTTGCTGAAATTTCAGCTGGTGATGATCATAGATACATTAACATTAAAAAATTGTCCATCTCCTTGGATAAACCTTGTAAAGAATGTCCTTTAACTTTTATGTGTGACATCTCATCACAGCTAGCAACTTAAAAGAATCACCAGTGTGATTTTCCCTTAAGGGATCCTTACTTGAGACTCATAATATAGCTCAGAACTGTCCCAAAGGATGGATCCTGGCTGCATCGCACCTCCAGCCTGCTTGCTACCTTCTTGGAGGAGTCTTTGAACAACTGCTCAGAGAGTGTATGTTTCCAACAGCCACATGTCCTCTTCTGCCCAGGAACTAGTGGGTAATTAGAGATTGGGACACTACCACCTTGCTCACATGAAAAGAGGACATAAATCTTAGACCAAGTGTCTCCCTCCTGGCAGGAGGAACTGTCAGTGATGAAACCATTGAGCAGAGGAATATCACAAGCTGGATAAAGCTGTCACCCTGAAGTTAAACTGCCCTTATCTAACTGATCAGTAAGTATTGTAACATCCATTTCACACCAGAGCATATGGAGAAAGATGTGGAAACCAACACTTGCTGTGTTAAAATGTTTGGGTTTGGTCATGGCAAAAGTGATTATGTGTCACACTAAAGCAATTAACAACGCAATATTTATTTAGCAAAGTGAAAACACTGAAAACATTTGTAATAACATCTGTGAATAAGCATTATTTGCAAAGTATAGGCATAAAATAAAAAGCTACTCCCTCACAGACACTCTGCCACTTTCCACCTTTCCTTAGCTATCTGAATTAGCATTTTTCTGCTCTGCTCCATTCCACCTCCTGCTTTCAACAGCATTTGCCAATCATGTCCAGATTATAATGACCATTGTACTATGCAAGAGCCAAGTCCAAATAGTCTCTTTTGACAAATGAATATGATTTTTTTCAATGAGAGGTCCTAATCCAAAGAGGAGAACTGGGTAAAAGATTGATTCTACC